TTAGTTTGCCGTTCTTTTTATGTGCTTTGTTTTGTTTTGGGATGCATCGGGGCGATGCACTTTTTAAGGGGGGAGTAATGCCGCGCGCCACGTATGCAGCGCGGCCGTAGCCTAACGGTTATCGCGCTTGCCTCCCCCGCGAAGGGCCAGGGTTCGATTCCTGGCCGCGGCTATGCATTTTTGGTAACACTGTAATGTAATGTTCTGGTGAAATCGAGAACCGTCTAGCTGATTCGAGGTCAGAATGTTCTACGCGTCGAACCTTCTACGTCGAATGCTCCAGAAGCCAACGTGTGTACAAAAGCGGCTCCGCGGGCAAGCCGGAGTCAGTTTTCGCCTAGCGTTCGACTCTGCTGCTACGCCGACTTCGACGCCCGCGACGCTCCGTTATTATCTTTTGTACCCTTTTATTTTTGGCACAAGTTCGCCACATTAAACATTTATTTCTTTCTGTTTATTTATTGTTTATTGGTCACCACCCGTGACAATATGTCTCATTAAAGTCAATACCCTCCGAACTTGTTCGATGCTAAAATAACGATCGATGAAGAAACGAAACGGAAAACTCAAAGGAGATAACACTTCGACCCTCAAAATTACCTGTTGAGTTGCGTGTATTTTTTATTATATACACGTGGGTTTTTTTCGATCGATATTGAGCAAAACAAAAAATGAACACGTATAGGATTCACATTTTTGGTACGATATGAAATTTGAAAGTGGAAAACTTCAACGTGCTTTTGTATGCAGCGTTTATATTTGCCTATTCACTTAGTAACAATGCAACTTTCCTCAACGAAAATAGTATTTATTGAATCAAAAAATAAAAGACGTTTACAATTCTCTGTAATGCCGAATTAGAGCGCAGCCGTTGAGGAGGAGGAGGGGAGGCTACGGAGGGGAAGGTATGCCCGGCCCCTCCACCCCCTCCGTGCCCTCCTCTCCAGCTCCCCTCTAATTCAGCGAGAAATTTTCGCTGAATTTTCCGCTAAACTTAGTGAACATTTCCCAGATAAATTTAGTAGGGAAATGTTTTCGCTAAATTTAGCGGAAAACGTTTTTCCGTTAAATTTAGTGGGAAAAGTTCCTGCTAAATTTATCGGTAACGTTTCCCCGCTAAACGTAGCGGAAAATGTTCCCCGCAATTTCCTGCTAAATTTAGCAGAAAAAATTTCCCGCAAAGTTTAGCGGAAAACTTGTCCTGCTATATTTAGCGGGAAAATTTACCCGCTGAATTTAGCGGGAAAATTTTCTCTGCTAAGTTCAACGGAAATTTTTCCATTAAACAGCGGGAAAATTTTCCGCTAAATTTAGCGGGGAAATTTAAAGTTAAATTAGCGTTGCATTATGGGAAAATTTCCCCGGTAAAGCTAGCAGTAAAATTCTCGCAAAATTTCTCCGCTAAAGTTAGCGTGAGAATGTTTTCGCTAGATTTAGCGGGGACATATTTGCGCTAATTCTAGCGGGAAAATTTTCCCGCTAATTTTTCGCAAAATTTCCCCGCTAAAGCTAGAAGGAAAATTTTCCCGCTAGATTTAGCTGGAAAATTTTCACACTAATTTTAATTGGGAAATTTTGCGAAAATGTTTCGGCTACATTTAGTAGAGAAATTTTCCAATAATGCAACGCGCGGTTAATCCCGCTTGCATTATTCCCATAATCCAGTGTGCGCGGTTCCGCCGACTGCGACGGTGACGACACTCACGCTGGAAACGGGCGCGTAAGAGCTGCACTCTATACACGAACTCATCTCTGTGACGTCACGGCGCGGTGGTGGCGCGTCGGTCGCACTTCCGGTCTGGGGCTGTGGGCAGAAGTCCCCATGCCAGACGTGCATTCCTGCGTTGTTTTGAAAGGAATTAGACAAAAACCTGCCTTTTCGTCAAAACGCCGCGACTGGGGCCGTACCAAAAGTGTCGAGAAAGGTGTGAAGGTCAGTTTTCACGTGCTCGGTTCGTCCGAGAATCTGGATATGTGCCGTGAAAAGGGAAAAGCAGACGCCGTCGGACAACGATTGCTGGGGCGGGAAGCATTTTGGGTTGAATTCACTGATACTTGTGGTCATCAGATTTATTTGTTTTGTTCCAACATGAACGCCAGAAAACTGTTAAGTTGTGCGGACCACCTGCGGACTACGTTCAGTCCACCTTCAAGTTCGAACGGCCGCCTGATCGTTCGAACTGTCATTTGCTCTTTGAAACGTTTCTGCTTGTCGTCTGCTCTCTTAGACGACGCCGGTCCGTACACAAAATGTTGGCCCGGTATTTGCGATAAGAAGTGAGTGCAAGCCTCAAGAGACTTAAATTTGACGGTTGGTAAGCGGGCTCGATGTAAACAGTAGATACAAGGAGATGTTGGTCATTGTTACCAGTGACCAACACCGACTTGTTATGCCTAATTCAGTTGGTCCGATTCTGCTTGCGATTGTCAGTATCGTTGTCGACCACCTCAGCTACGGTTCACGCTTTTGCAGCCCGAGCGGCGTCGCGACTGAAAATTCCGAGCGAAATCTCATCATGCGAATCAGGCTTTAGAGTACTATCTGCGGCGTCCACGCGGAATGAATCGCCACATGTCACATTATTCACGCGAAGTTTTGCGGTGTAACGAGCCTCGGTAATTTCGCTGACGCCGCTCAAGCCTAGTTAGACATCGCCAGGAAGACGTAGAACCAACAATTCGAACGTGAAAAAGGGCAGGGGGACTCACACCGACGCCGACAACATCGCATTTCAATGGTTTCTTTATGGGCGACAGAGAGCTCCTTGCCCACACCCCTATCGCGCATGCGCGGCGCCGGTGGCGTCCGCTAGGGGCGCTCCGGGCGCTCCGGTTTGTTTGTAAACATGAGTTGGTGTATAAATAAGACATTTACAACTCTTTGTGATGCGAAATTAGAGCGGAGCTCTTGAGGTATTGCGATTTTGCGACATACCGTGCTAAAGAATTTTAGAAATATATATATATATACAAATGTAGCTGCCGGTGACGTTTCTAGGAGGAGGAGGGGAGGCTATGCAGGAGGAGGAAGAGAGGAGGATACGGAGGGGGAGAAGGAGGGGAGGGTACGAAAGAGGAGGAGGGGAGGGTATAGAGGAGCAGGGGAGAGTACAGAGGAAGAGAAGGAGTGGAGGGTATGGAGTAAGGCGGGTGGGTACGGAGGAGGAGGAAAGGATATGGAGGAGGACAGAACAGTTCTTTGTATCCTCCCCCCTTCCCCCATACCCTCCCCTTCTCCTCCTTCTCCTCCGGTTACGGTGACGGCGACGCCGACGCCGCAAAAGAAGGGAACTAGCCCCTAATGCCTCGTTCGCACTTGCGAACCGGCGGCCGGATTCGCTAGAATTCTGACGCCGGGCGACGAAAGCAGGCAGAATTTTCGGTGGAGAGCGAGATCGCTCTGGGACCAATTTTGAACGCCGGAAAAAAAAAAAATTCGCTCGCCGCAAGCCAATCAGAACGCACGGGGAAGTGGCGCTTGCTGACGTCAGATCCCCGCTGACGAGCTGGCGACGATGGCAGCGAGACGCGCGCGGGCAAGGAGGAGGTTTGGGAGCTCTTGTCAGCTCACGTGTGTTCGGGAAACAGCAAGACACGGCGCGCCGCGCACTCCGGAGGCGGCAACGAATGTGAGCGGCCCGATCTTTTTTCGGCGAGCGAATCCAGTCGGCGGCGAGTGCGCATTTCGCAAGTGTGAACGAGCCATAAGAGCTGCGCTCTAGAATAAATATGAATCCGAACGCACATGTCCTGAAAAGAAAAGAAGAAATCTCCAAGTGAATGTTTATGTTGTCTTTTTGTCTTCTACGTTGTTGAGGCTAGCTTAGTTTCAGAGTGCTCCAGGCCTTCGTGGCAGCGCGAGCACGTCGTTACGTCTTGCGTGTCATTTGCGTACGCTCGAGCAAGTATTCAGCTTTGACAAGGCCACGAATATTATGCTAGCCTTGCCAAAGTTGCACAAGAAGCTGGACGGAGAGTTCAAGCAATTAAGTTCTTCCACAAAAGCAATGTTATCATTTAGATGTAACGTTAAATATGCTCAATGTTTCGTTGTTCCAAAAACTGCGTGGTATAGTATTCAGATGTCTTTGTTTTGTTTTACATATTTATCAACATGAAAATGCCTCAATGTGTACTCTACTTTTTTTCATTATTGCCCTTCCAATACAACAATTTGCGATAAAGCTGCAAAGTAGACGGAAACATGTTAATGAATCTAGCAAAATACAAATAAAACCATTTTGTTGACCAACCTCAGTCTTTTTTTCCAGATAAAAAGGTTCCGCTCAGTCATAGTGCGTTTTAAGCACATTCATATGCGTCTACCGTCTATTACCTTGTACACTGAAAAAGAAGTGATATAAATCAGTACCAAAGAGCGAACGACAGTTCACGAATATAATTTGGTTCTAAATGCAATGCCAAATTTAACGCAGTTTCTATGTACTATTATTGCATATGACTGCACAAACCTATACCTAAACCGATATTAAGGGAAACCATTTTCCTTAAGTAGTTCGTATCTTGTTCATATCCGCACCTAGTAAAGCATGTACAAGTTTCTCTAGACAAATGCCTGCTTCATAAGCTGTCAAAGACGCTTGCAGCGTGTATAAACCATCATAAGCGTCCTCTGTCTGAAAAAGACCTTTCAGGTCTCGTTATAAATAATAATCTAGGGGAAAAACAAATCCACGCCTAGTCCGCACCTCTAGATTGTCCACACCAGATGAAGTTGAAAATGTTTATTAAACGTGTATACAATCCGCGGGCCGTAGTGCTCAAAATACGCTAATTTAAATTATAAGAAAAAATATAGCTCGCTCATATTCGGTCTATCTCTTAAACTAAAATAGTAAAGTGGCCTACTTGGACAAGCATTATGAACAATCTGTTCATATTGTTGTCTGTCGATCGCAATTTTTATCGTTAATTTTGTGTGCCCTCTACGGTAAGAAGCAATCCGCCAAACTTTCCCTCTATCTCTTCCTTTCATGCAGGAAATCCCTGGCGATGCGACAACTCCCTGGTGCGAGCACTGCAGGACCTAGACACGAGGATGGTCGAGGTGTCCGGTCGTCCCCAGTGCTACCTGGCGCCCTAGAGCCACGGCCCCAAACCAGAAGAAGAGCAACCTGGGCCGCCGCGCCCAATACCATCTAAAAGACAAAACCTGCGTAGCTGATGCTTTGTGGCGACTGTCTTCGCGCTTCAGTGTTTTAATGCCGCCTGGGGCGGATTCGGGACCCGCAAGCTTTGTCTTCTAGGAGGTATTGCGCCGCCCCCCTGTGGAACGACTCTCATCAACACTCCACCCTTTCCCCAACAATTTCCTTCCGAGAGGCGGCGGTCGTTAAGAACACAGGATACGTTCATTTGGCGAGTCGTAAACTCTGGGTCCCGTTAGTGTCCCTAGTTTGGCCTATTTTTTAACGACTGTCGTTGTCAATAGGTGACCGGGACGCCGCCAAATAAACTTAGATTTTTTTTATAGCCGTAATTGTTAAGACCCCACCTCAGTCAGATGTTTGGTGCGTCGTGGTTTCTAATCTCTCACACTTTTTTTTCAAAGGATTAGCAATGTTACCAAGCTTCCGATGAATAACGGAAATAATTTCATCTCGAAATTTACTCCTCAAAAATGTTGCTTCTGTTTCTTCACCGAGAGTATAACATAAAGCACCCGATCCCCGGCAAACTTTAGAAGGCGCTAAGAGTTGGGAAATATATATATGACGCTAAAACTCTCGCGATCGTCTTTGTTGTCATGCAGACATTCAGGAGGTTTTGAGGAGATGTAGACTTTCTGTAGGTTGTCAAAACAAATTTTGAAAATAATATATGTGTTTCACATCTAAGGTATTTCAGAGGAATCGCCTGAAAGGGCAACTGTAAACACAACTGTTGATTCCTAGAAGAAACAAATGCCACTTAAAATTTGATTCCTTACATGTGAGTTACTGCTGCAAATTAATGAAACGTTTCATGAGGATTAAAAACGATTGGAGGCTGTTAACATGAGTTTACGAGAAAACAACAAAGAACGGGATAATTTTCATGAAAAAGCACAGTGGAATTAAGAGTGGTAGACAGCTTCCAAAAACAACAAGTGGGCACGATTTTGTAGTGACTGAATTATTGCTGTATCTAAAACTTATTCGAGAGAAACAACCCGCAAACTTCACTTTTATTTGGCGTTTCCATAAGTGCCGCTGCCAGCAAAAGTGAAATGGTATTTATAGGCCGTGAGCGTTTCGCTATGTTTCTGCTTACACTTCCGAACACAATATTGTTTCTACAATGTTGAAATTTCTCACCACTCTGCCATAGAGCATGTCTGGTGAAAGGATTATAAACAGTCTTTCGTCTCCGACTTGTGTCTACGAAGTAAGTCGTCAACGGTCCAAGCTTATAGACAATATATATAAAATTGTAAAGAAGAAAAAAATCAAATACATGAGCAATCCAAGGTTAAAAACCTTAGCATGAGCGGCGCCACAAAGACATAGATTTAGAAGAGGCAGAAAATAGGCTTGAATGTCGTATCCTTTCACATCTTAACCGGTAGAATTATTGAGATTACGAGTAGCCACTGACAAGGTGAGAACGGCAGGGAGATCCTTCCGTTGTCCCCCCTTCCGCGCATATCCTTACCTTCGATGATCACACTTCGACGACTCGTGTTCCTCAAGCGCGCAAACCCAGGCAAAGCGCGGTAGAATGCATCGACGGCCTGCTGAAAGCCGGGCATGCGAAAAAGACAGCCCGCCGTTGTCACCCTGTTAGTGACAATAGAAAAAAAAATTAATGTATCCGCACGAAACTGAGATTATCAGCGGTGAAAAGACAACGTTTGAACAATACTGGGCTGTCATGCACAACTTTACACGCTACAAGGGCACGCAACATTTATTGAGACTTATTTCCGGTGCAAAAGCGAATCTCCTGAGAGCAGATTTGTGCTAAAATACTTCAAGTTATTTTCGTAAATGGCAGGCCGGAGGCGTCAAATAAAGATGAACACACTAAAATAAATAAAAAAACAAACAACCTAAGTAGCCTAGCTGGTCCACATATTAGCACACCTGATAGACCCACTCCATTTGCTTCTATACCATTTCTAGGATGCCAGCGTAATTAAGAATGTCATACAGTTATTGAAATTATAAAAGACGCACCTTGTAACGTCTGTGGGTGAATAACATTAAGATAAAAGTAATTTAGTGCATTTAGAGTATTTTCGAAATGTTTAAGTTAACAAGATGATATACAGCATGTCAATAACTGTATTGTGACCTTGCCTAGCGCATCAATTCCACAAAAGGTTTATCGCATTTCATACATTTCGGTTTTTTCATCAAAATATAAAATCAAGAGAAGGAAGATGAGATCAATACAGCAACATTAGGGAGACATTACTGTAGTTTTAATATCGTGTGTTGGAACAGTAAAGTCAAAGCGAACATGTACAGTAGGCATATATTGAGATTGAAGTGGCAATCACAATAATTCCGAACTCGTAGTGGCTCATAGAAGCCAGATACTGGCAAGCTCAAATATACTATATTAAGAATGGGAAAGATATTATTGAGGCCCAGGTCCAGCTCCACTTTACCAAATAAAGCGCCAGATGAAACGTAACAGATAATCTAATTTGAGAAACAAATTAGACTGATTCAGCCGTGCAGAAATTATAGTATCGCCGTGATGGTACGGAAATTCGTTTCATAACATAATTAGCCAAATATGTATTGTTTGCAATTTTAGGGAAGGGTGTAACTGTTCAATTTTGTTTTTGTTAGCAATTTACGTGATGAATTGAATCTCGCCTTATCGCGCTCCGTGCTGTCCCCGCCATATCATAATATAAAAGTTCAATTAATTTAGTTGCAGGTTTGTATCTCAACTTTACCGCACAGTCTTACATTAGAAGAGCACCACCTAAGAATTGTATCCTGACATTGTCTATATAATAGCTTTCGCAGAGTGATAATATTAAACTTTGTTTGGAAGTTATTTTCTTAGATTATCACGCAGGGTATACAATATTGATGTGGAAGGCACCGTCATATTATTTTTATTCCTTTAGCGAGAGTGGTCACCGTGGTTCGCGCAGGATTGGTACCCTATAAACACCGAAAGCGGTTTTATTCATTAAAAAAGATGCAGCTTTAACATGATCAAGATTTTTAATAGCATATTAAGTTAAAACACTGAGGTAAAATGTGGCTTCACTAGCGTTTAGTGGGAATAAAAGTACTAGTCAGAAAATACATCTTTTGTGTATTTGGTTTTTATACTCCAAATATTTTAAGAAAAATACTAAAGAATTGCTAAGTTTTGTGCAAGGAGTAATCACCATGTAATTGTGAAGTTCATCAAAAAGTGTTACTATCCGTTTGTGAGGCAGGTAAGGCAAAAAAAAATTAGAAATGGAATATAACGTTTATATAAGACATTCTTTACCTTAAAAAAAGCCCATCGTACCAACTCCCAAATTTATAGAGACTATCCCCCAACGTTCAGGGAAACCTAGCTTGATCCAAGTGGTTTCGTGGCGAAAGAGCACCTAGTTCTAATAATATTGTTATTAATAAATAATTTCTTCAGATAGTAAACGCTGCACATAAACAGATTCGTAAACAACATGGGTTTGCATAATATTACACACTAGCCGTTTCTTGACAGTTGTACTATTGTTAACAGTTCAACCGTTGTACTACAAGACAGCGCATTTCAGACGTGCAACTGCAAAGCCAGTACTGTGATCCTGATGTCTAGACGTGTCAGAGACACTTCCTCGTAGATGCTTGCTTGCCTAGATTAAAAAAGGGAGCTTATCAAAACGTTTCCCGTTTCGCAAGTGTCGCCCCTTATTCTTTATATGTGCCATTTTGGGTGGATTTTTTTACGTTCGTGCTATTTTTAAAGTGTACTTCAGTCTGGCAAAAGCAACGGATGTAATCTTCCTGCGTTCCCTCGGTTTTTTTACGTAATTTAGCGGTGTTTATGGCAACTGGATATATTATCTCTGTGGATGGCTGCGACGCGGACTTTGTCGTAATGGTTGTTGCACTTTTCGTGTGGCGCGTTTTCGTTGCTGCTGCGAGAATGCTGAACTTTCGACTCTTATGCATTTACTGGGTCGTTCGACGCAGCGTTCGAGGGCCCTCTCGGTTAATGCGAATCAGCTGCCTCATTTGAGTTTTTGTGCGGTATGTTCAGACTGCTGTGAAGTCATTTATAAAATAGTCTTGCCTCTCGTGTCATACTACTCAAATGTGACCGTGATACTAAAGAATTGAATCCTCCTTTGTCGGTATTATTTGGCGGAACAAACATCATCTGAGACAAAAGCCCCTGTAGATCGCTGCGATTAGTGTCCGCTGACTTTTCGGAATAGAACATGGACAGGCATTTGTCACCCATGACAAACAAAAAGCACTTTAATAAAGTAGCAGACAAAGCTACCCGCTTCACTGTACTATAGGCCTCTTTTACGTAAGAAGCCTATTGCTGGTTTAGTTTGGGTCAACCTGTGTTCTTCACTTCGTTTCATGTGAAGATGGAAAATAAATACAATATCATTTACACGTAGGTGTTAACATTCTATTATCCTTATGTTCACTTTTTTTTAAACACCTATTCAAAACAAAAATACTTTAAAAGTTACCCACGTTGAGGTATTTGATGAAAGCATACACAACTGTGTCTCCTGTCATATGATAGGCATGCTAACGTAGTATCATGCAGCGTACATAGCGTGCTTTTTGTTGGACACCAAATTACAGTGGCATTCAATTTTTAGAGGGTTCTCAATTTCGATCGGAAGGAACACCGATGATTTCTGTGTAGTATTGGTATGTTTGTGACCTTGCAGCAGTTTTTTTGTTTTGTTTTTTGTAATTAAAGTAATTGGAAGGTTGAGAGAAAAGATGTATGTTAATGTTCTTTTCAAACTGAAATGTTTGCCCAGTCTAATTGGAATTAATACTGTAATTCAAATATTTACACACTGTCATTTTTATACACATAAATATACCCGATATTAAAGTCGACTTCGTTTGCACCAGTGATTAAAACATTCTAAATATTAGCTGACATTGCGCTCGGCTTATTCTATTTTTTGACTCAAATGAATCCCTTTGTGGTCTCAAAATTCCCCTTCTCGTTATATCATTCTCTCAGCCTTCACGTCAGAAGGGAGATGTACAATTGAAAATAGCAAATATTTGACTTAACTAAAACAAAGGAGCTCACATGAAAAACGTTTTTCAGTGTTACCAGTCTTCTCATTGTTTTTTTGTGTTTGCTGACTTTATGCATTGTATAGTATGTCTCCGTGGTGACCAATAAAAAATAAAAATGGAAGTGTTCGAATGCCGTATTTTGTAAAATCATTCGCTTTTTCGTTAAAATGATTCATTAAATCTTCAATAAAAATTGGCTTTAGTCTAGCGGTGTAATCTCGGTTTCCGTTTGGTTGAAGTGCAAATCGGGCTAAAAGTTTCTGTTCGGCTGAAAGTTCCGATTCGGCTCAATCCTCAATTAGACGGGGCACTTCAATTCGGCTTAATTTTCAGTTCAGGCGGAAATTACAACTCGGAACGAACATCTTTTTTCTGGCTGGGTGAACGATAAGCATCTAAGGTAAAGACGTATAAGCGTCATTTCCTTAGATGCCATCACTCACGGTTATAGGCTGAGATATGCCTGCGACCGGAAATAAGAGATTAATTTCAAAGCAGTTGAGAGAGGATCATGTCATATGGTAACGATAATAGT